TAATACCGACCTGTATTTGGAATAAGGATTTCTGGCCTTCTGATAATCTAGACATTTGAAATATAAGTGTAGATTTAAATGTAAAATCATGACGAGCTGATATTTAGACAACAATTGAATAACAAATCTAAATATAATTTCATAAAATTATTTCCAACGTTTAAAATGAATTTTTATTAATCAGTGAAATTAAAATTGTAGAGGTCGACCCCTAATGTCTTGTAATTAGAGATATTACTGTTTAGATTGCTACGGGCACAGTGGCCTTACATGGCTATTGTTAATAAAATCAAATTAGGCAACAATAAATATTATTTCGGTTCGCTGTAATTAGATAAATGTCAATGTGAATAAGTTGGAAAGTTCTTGTTTTTTGTTTTTCTTCAATGAAATTCTTGAAAATACACTTACATAAACACAATACCAAACAATATCAACTGATCAAGAACAACAGCATTCATTATGGACTCCATATGGTTATATAAAACTTTTAAAAAATCCACATTTGGAACGCACGTGACTTGAATAAAGTCGAACGGCCCCGATGATAAGTAGTTTCATATTCTCTAACAGCCAAGATAATATTTGCATATCATATGATAACTGACCAAGGATAAGGTAAAAATCCAAGATATCACAATATAATCGATATTTGCATATCATATGATAAGTCTAACACAATATAATCGTCAAACAGTTCTATAAGACCAATATAATCGGATAAGGTAAAAAATATAATCGTGAATGTCAAACAGTTCTATAAGTCTAGATATCACAATATAATCGTCAAATAGTTCTATAAGTCTAGATATCACAATATAATCGTCAAACAGTTCTATAAGTCTAGATATCACAATATAATCGTCAACCAGTTCTACAAGTCTACATATCACAATATAATCGTCAAACAGTTCTATAAGTCTAGATATCACAATATAATCGTCAACCAGTTCTACAAGTCTACATATCACAATATAATCGTCAACCAGTTCTACAAGTCTACATATCACAATATATATCCAAATTAAAAAAACGAATGATTTTTATCAGATTAAATTACAATTCAAGTTTATATGAAATAGCGAATAGATTTCCATAACCTCTGAAATGTAACATATTGTGAATAAACAGATTGTTGGTAAACAATAACACACTTATGTTAGATAGTACAGCATTCTTTGCCACAAACGCGCCAACAATGGCGGCGTTCATTAAGTTTTATACAATCAAAGTAGATTCTTGGTATCCTTTATTTTACTCAGAGATATCTAAATGTTTCCTTTTTAACTTTTTTATCAGAAAATATCATGACCATTGATATCAATAACACACTTATGTTAATTCAGCATTCTTTGCCAAAAACACATTAAGTTTTATACAATCAAAGTAGATTCTAGGTATCCTTTATTTTACTCAGAGATATCTAAATGTTTCCTTTTTAACTTTGAATATCATGACCATTGATATCTCTGGTGAATTCGACAAAAACACAGGCACATATCATGGCTTGCTCCTTTCTTGTTTGATAGTGTATTTCACTCTGCCAAACAATCACAACATATTTTCGCCGCCAAAACGTTGCAATAAAACCTTTTTAAATATACACTATTTTTATGTACTCCCTTTGAAGCGTTGGGGTGTCGCGCTATCTTGCCACGATAATTTTAATTGAGGTGAAATTATAAAAGAAATAAGTCTTAAATATTACAACAATAATCACTTATAATCGATTTTGATATCTTCATAGAATTGCCCGATTATGGTACTATTATTGAACAGGTCTGTTTTTGTTTTTAATTGTTTAACGTCCTATCAACAGCTAGGGTCATTTGAATACAGTCTATTTATGTATGCGAGGTTAGTCTAAGCGTAGTATGAGTATGAGAACAACAAAGCCATAATCTAAATTCAGATACAAGATAAAAAAAGAAAAAAAATGCATACAGACACTCCTGAAAAAGTCTCTTGATATTGCAAAATTAATGCTACCACACTGAAGTATACTGCCGAACACATCCATGTCACTCTACCCAGTCAACTGTTTCACCACCACTACCACAATGCTGAGAGTCAAACACGGAATAGTAACTACTGTCTTTCAAGCATCTGCTTTATCCTGGTGAGGGAACAGAAAAGAAGCTCTCAAAAAAAAAACTCAACAAATAACACATTCGTTATCTTGTTCAGATGAGAGCGTGCATCGCATAAATAATGAACAATGCATAAACCGGGGTGAAAAAGCGAGGTGAAGAATGTGAAGTTTTATCTGATAGATTATGTGACAGTTTCTCATTTCATTCTTCATTTAACCACGAATAATGTCGGAAATCTCTTACAATACCTATCGACCTAGTCACCCAGTTTGGTGACTATGCAGATAACCCATATTTAAATGACCTGCTATACGTTTAATGCTATACGTCTGCAAAATTCTTTTTTGCTTCAAATTGCTTAAAACGCTTGTGGTAGCACACTATACATGAAAGGACTTATATTACGCAGCTGTTAACAAAAGTATTTGATACACTAAACGTACTGCTGACGTGTACAGTAATTGTAATGGGTAAGCGTCGGCAGCTTCAATTGTTCAGTGCAAAGAAGTGAAAATAGAGACTGTTTGACCTACTCTCAAGGTCTGTCGGGACAGTAGAGTACTAGTAACCTGAGAAAGATCTAGAACGAACTTATCCCAATTTCTATATCAAGATAAAAAAAGATGTTTTGCGCTGAGTTTTATGCCATTAATAATCAATTTGTACCTCTAAGTATGACTTGTAGGTACCTGTCTCCTCCATAGGACGGTCGTATGACCTGCAGGTATCTGTCTCCCCCATTGGAGGGTCGTATAACCTGCAGGTACCTGACCTCTCCCATTAGAAGGTCGCATTAGGAGACTTAATTTTGGACTGCTTTTATCTCTTTTACTCTATTGTGTCCTTATGTCTTCAAAGATGTATCCTCGTCTTTAGTCTTTAGTTGAGCGTTCGCCTATATACCTGTATAACTGGTGGTTATTTATATCTGTACCTGTATAACTGGTGGTTATTTATATCTGTACCTGTATAACTGGTGGTTATTTATATCTGTACCTGTATAACTGGTGGTTAATTATATCTGTATAACTGGTGGTTATTTATATCTGTACCTGTATAACTGGTGGTTATTTATATCTGTACCTGTATAACTTGTAGTTATTTATATCTGTACCTGTATAACTGGTGGTTATTTATATCTGTATAACTGGTGGTTATTTATATCTGTACCTGTATAACTGGTGGTTATTTATATCTGTACCTGTATAACTGGTGGTTATTTATATCTGTACCTGTATAACTGGTGGTTATTTATATCTGTACCTGTATAACTGGTGGTTATTTATATCTGTACCTGTATAACTGGTTGTTATTTATATCTGTATAACTGGTGGTTATTTATAACTGTATAACTGGTGGTCATTTATATCTGTATAACTGTGGTGGTTATTTATATCTGTATAACTTGTGGTTATTTATATCTGTATAACTGGTGGTTATTTATATCTGTATGTATAACTGGTGGTTATTTATATCTGTATAACTGGTGGTTATTTATATCTGTATAACTGGTGGTTATTTATATCTGTACCTGTATAACTGGTGGTTATTTATATCTGTATAACTGGTGGTTATTTATATCTGTACCTGTATAACTGGTGGTTATTTATATCTGTATAACTTGTGGTTATTTATATCTGTATAACTGGTGGTTATTTATATCTGTATAACTGGTGGTTATTTATATCTGTATAACTGGTGGTTATTTATATCTGTATAACTGGTGGTTATTTATATCTGTATAACTTGTGGTTATTTATATCTGTATAACTGGTGGTTATTTATATCTGTATAACTGGTGGTTATTTATATCTGTATAACTGGTGGTTATTTATATCTATCTGGTGGTTATTTATATCTGTATAACTGGTGGTTATTTATATCTGTATAACTGGTGGTTATTTATATCTGTATAACTGGTGGTTATTTATATCTGTATAACTGTATTTATATCTGTATAACTGTGGTTATTTATATCTGTACCTGTATATACTGGTGGTTATTTATATCTGTACTGGTGGTTATTTATATCTGTACTTGTATAACTGGTGGTTATTTATATCTGTACCTGTATAACTGGTGGTTATTTATATCTGTACCTGTATAACTGGTGGTTATTTATATCTGTACCTGTATAACTGGTGGTTATTTATATCTGTATAACTGGTGGTTATTTATATCTATACCTGTATAACTGGTGGTTATTTATATCTGTATCTGTATAACTGGTGGTTATTTATATCTGTACCTGTATAACTGGTGGTTATTTATATCTATATCTGTATAACTGGTGGTTATTTATATCTGTATAACTGGTGGTTACTTATATCTGTTCCTGTATAACTGGTGGTTATTTATATCTGTATAACTGGTGGTTATTTATATCTGTATAACTCGTGGTTATTTATATCTGTACCTGTATAACTGGTGGTTATTTATATCTGTACCTTATAACTTGTAGTTATTTATATCTGTACCTGTATAACTGGTGGTTATTTATATCCTTTTCTGTGATATTTTTATAATTCGCTTTTGATTTGTCTAAATCTCCTCCCGGTTTCAAAATCAATCCCATAGTATAGAAAATGAGTCGTATTCTCTAGTTTATTTCTGTAAATCTTTCTTGGCCTTGCCTAGGAAATTTGAAAAGAGTTCATCGCATTTCTTCACGGTGATTGAGAGGAATACATGGAAAAAATCGCGACATCATGTGTCATATCAGAATTGACGATAAAACATATAAAATACACACCAGTCTTCAAATTTTGAGGACGCCAGAAGAACAATGCCCAGTTTGTGTTGGAATGAAGTCTCTCTGGCCTCAGTATAGAGGATATACAGCTGATCGTATTCCCACTGTGTTCTTCAGCCTTATTTTTGATGAAATGTAAGTAAAAGTTCACCTACCCTGTTGGTATTCCTTCTAAACCAGGGACGACCTGACATCTGGACTCCACTTGGGTTGTTAATAGGCAAACTGAAATGTTAACAGGTATCAATAAGGACAAACACTAGTATTAAACAAATATCATTTAAACGACATATCTCAGTGTACGGGGGCATCTATTGACTCATCAATAGTAAACTGCTACTGATACCAAAATCTTAAATAACTACAGTTTCCTTCACATTTACATTTGATATAGAAACCCACACCCACGACAAATTTTAATTTTATTATTATTTTTGTGTTTTTGTTTTTTGTTTTTTGTTTTTTCTTCAATTTTCAAATATTTTGTTGACATAATGACAAGTGGATTGGACACTAATCTAGAATGCATTTACGAAGATAAAATCCAGTTGCAAGAGAAGATTAATAATTGTACGGCATTAAAATTGTGATAATAGTCTCTAACAATTATTGTTGTATCTTATTATTCCTGACTTCAAACGATATTGTTTGCTAGAACTATAGGCACATCACTACAAACGAAAGATTTAAACTTTGATCCATAATTAACATCGATCAATCACCGTGTGGAATATTTCTTGTTTGAATCACAGCTTGGGGTCTCAAAGTTATCTCTTTTGCTCTGCTTTAGTGTAAACACACGTAACAAGTCACCTGTCAAATACCGCGAGCAGACGACAGCATGTGTGGCTCATAAAGTAACATTTGCTGTGACACGCGCTGGGAATACGTCGCTATGCATACCAATTACAGTGAACATATAACAAGTAAGCAGGCTGATAGGTGATAGCTTATTTTGAGAACATTCTCGGGAAACACACGTCTTTATAGCCATAGTCCATATTAACACCGAACCGATATCTTCATTTCAGGAAGTCAGTACAGTCTGTATTGACGTATTTGTCCAGTCTCCTATTGAAGTAGGTGTCCAATCTCCTATTGTCCCAGTCTCCTATTGACGTATTTGTCCAGTCTCCTATTGACGTATTTGTCCAGTCTCCTATTGACGTATTTTTACAGTCTCTTACTGACATATTTGTCCAGTCTCCTATTGACGTGTTTGTGCAGTCTCTTATTAACAAATTTGTCCAGTCTCCTATTGACGTACTTGTCCAGTCTCCTATTGACGTATTTGTCCAGTCTCCTATTGACGTATTTGTCCAGTCTCTTATTGACGTATTTGTCCAGTCTCTTACTGACGTATTTGTCCAGTCTCCTATTGACGTGTTTGTCCAGTCTCCTATTGACGTATTTGTCCAGTCTCCTATTGACGTATTTGTCCAGTCTCCTATTGACGTATTTGTCCAGTCTCCTATTGACGTATTTGTCCAGTCTCCTATTGACGTATTTGTCCAGTCTCCTATTGACGTATTTGTCCAGTCTCCTATTGACGTACTTGTCCAGTCTCTTATTGACGTATTTGTCCAGTCTCTTATTGACGTGTTTGTCCAGTCTCCTATTGACGTTTATGTCCAGTCTCCTATTGACGTTTTTCTCCAGTCTCCTATTGACGTATTTGTCCAGTCTCTTATTGACGTATTTGTTCAGTCTCTTATTAACAAATTTGTCCAGTCTCCTATTGACGTACTTGTCCAGTCTCCTATTGACGTATTTGTCCAGTCTCCTATTGACGTACTTGTCCAGTCTCTTATTGACGTATTTGTTCAGTCTCTTATTAACGAATTGACGTACTTGTCCAGTCTCCTATTGACGTATTTGTCCAGTCTCCTATTGACGTACTTGTCCAGTCTCCTATTGACGTATTTGTCCAGTCTCCTATTGACGTATTTGTCCAGTCTCCTATTGACGTATTTGTCCAGTCTCTTATTGACGTATTTGTCCAGTCTCCTATTGACGTATTTGTCCAGTCTCCTATTGACGTATTTGTCCAGTCTCCTATTGACGTATTTGTCCAGTCTCCTATTGACGTATTTGTCCAGTCTCCTATTGACGTACTTGTCCAGTCTCTTACTGACGTATTTGTCCAGTCTCTTATTGACGTGTTTGTCCAGTCTCCTATTGACGTATTTGTCCAGTCTCCTATTGACGTATTTGTCCAGTCTCCTATTGACGTATTTGTCCTGTCTCCTACTGACGTACTTTTCCAGTCTCCTATTGACGTACATGTATTTGTCCAGTCTCCTATTGACGTATTTGTCCAGTCTCCTATTGACGTACTTGTCCAGTCTCCTATTGACGTATTTGTCCAGTCTCCTATTGACGTATTTGTCCAGTCTCCTATTGACGTATTTGTCCAGTCTCCTACTGACGTACTTGTCCAGTCTCCTATTGACGTATTTGTCCAGTCTCTTATTGACGTATTTGTCCAGTCTCCTATTGACGTATTTGTCCAGTCTCTTATTGACGTATTTGTCCAGTCTCCTATTGACGTATTTGTCCAGTCTCCTATTGACGTATTTGTCCAGTCTCTTATTGACGTATTTGTCCAGTCTCCTATTGACGTATTTGTCCAGTCTCCTATTGACGTATTTGTCCAGTCTCCTATTGACGTATTTGTCCAGTCTCTTATTGACGTATTTGTCCAGTCTCCTATTGACGTATTTGTCCAGTCTCTTATTGACGTATTTGTCCAGTCTCCTATTGACGTATTTGTCCAGTCTCCTATTGACGTATTTGTCCAGTCTCCTATTGACGTATTTGTCCAGTCTCCTATTGACGTATTTGTCCAGTCTCCTATTGACGTATTTGTCCAGTCTCCTAGTGACGTATTTGTCCAGTCTCTTATTGACGTATTTGTCCAGTCTCCTATTGACGTATTTGTCCAGTCTCCTATTGACGTACTTGTCCAGTCTCCTATTGACGTATTTGTCCAGTCTCCTATTGACGTATTTGTCCAGTCTCCTATTGACGTATTTGTCCAGTCTCTTATTTTGACGTATTTGTCCAGTCTCTATTGACGTACGTCTCCTATTGACGTATTTGTCCAGTCTCCTATTGACGTATTTGTCCAGTCTCCTATTGACGTATTTGTCCAGTCTCCTATTGACGTATTTGTCCAGTCTCTTATTGACGTATTTGTCCAGTCTCCTATTGACGTATTTGTCCAGTCTCCTATTGACGTATTTGTCCAGTCTCCTATTGACGTATTTGTCCAGTCTCCTATTGACGTCTTTGTCCAGTATTGACGTGTTTGTCCAGTCTCCTATTGACGTATTTGTCCAGTCTCCTATTGACGTATTTGTCCAGTCTCTTATTGACGTATTTGTCCAGTCTCTTATTGACGTATTTGTCCAGTCTCCTATTGACGTATTTGTCCAGTCTCCTATTGACGTATTTGTCCAGTCTCCTATTGACGTATTCTTATTGACGTACTTGTCCAGTGTCCTATTGACGTATTTGTCCAGTCTCCTATTGACGTGTTTGTCCAGTCTCTTATTGACGTATTTGTCCAGTCTCCTATTGACGTGTTTGTCCTGTCTCTTATTGACGTATTTGTCCAGTCTCCTATTGACGTATTTGTCCAGTCTCTTATTGTCGTATTTGTCCAGTCTCCTATTTAAGTGTTTGTCCAGTCTCCTATTGACGTATTTGTCCAGTCTCTTATTGACGTATTTGTCCAGTCTCCTATTGACGTATGTGTCCAGTCTCCTATTGACGTCCAGTCTCTATTGACGTATTTGTCCAGTCTCCTATTGACGTATTTGTCCAGTCTCCTATTGACGTATTTGTCCAGTCTCCTATTGACGTCCAGTCTCTGACGTATTTGTCCAGTCTCCTATTGACGTATTTGTCCAGTCTCCTATTGACGTATTTGTCCAGTCTCCTATTGACGTATTTGTCCAGTCTCCTATTGACGTATTTGTCCAGTCTCCTATTGACGTATTTGTCCAGTCTCCTATTGACGTATTTGTCCAGTCTCTTATTGACGTACTTGTCCAGTCTCCTATTGACGTATCTATCCAGTCTCCTATTGACGTTTTTGTCCAGTCTCTTATTGACGTATTTGTCCAGTCTCCTATTGACGTATTTGTCCAGTCTCCTATTGACGTATTTGTCCAGTCTCCTATTGACGTATTTGTCCAGTCTCCTATTGACGTACTTGTCCAGTCTCCTATTGACGTACATGTATTTGTCCAGTCTCTTACTGACGTATTTGTCCAGTCTCCTATTGACGTATTTGTCCAGTCTCCTATTGACGTATTTGTCCAGTCTCCTATTGACGTATTTGTCCAGTCTCCTATTGACGTATTTGTCCAGTCTCTTATTGACGTATGTGTCCAGTCTCCTATTGACGTATTTGTCCAGTCTCCTATTGACGTTTTTGTCCAGTCTCCTATTGACGTATTTGTCCAGTCTCCTATTGACGTATTTGTCCAGTCTCCTATTGACGTATTTGTCCAGTCTCTTATTGACGTATTTGTCCAGTCTCCTATTGACGTATTTGTCCAGTCTCCTATTGACGTATTTGTCCAGTCTCCTATTGACGTACTTGTCCAGTCTCCTATTGACGTATTTGTCCAGTCTCTTACTGATGTGTTTGTCCAGTCTCCTATTGACGTATTTGTCCAGTCTCCTATTGACGTATTTGTCCAGTCTCCTATTGACGTATTTGTCCAGTCTCTTATTGACGTATTTGTCCAGTCTCTTATTGACGTATTTGTCCAGTCTCTTATTGACGTATTTGTCCAGTCTCCTATTGACGTATTTGTCCAGTCTCTTATTGACGTATTTGTCCAGTCTCCTATTGACGTATTTGTCCAGTCTCCTATTGACGTATTTGTCCAGTCTCTTATTGACGTATTTGTCCAGTCTCGTATTGACGTGTTTGTCCAGTCTCTTATTGACGTATGAGTCCAGTCTCGTATTGACGTATTTGTCCAGTCTCCTATTGACGTATTTGTCCAGTCTCCTATTGACGTATTTGTCCAGTCTCCTATTGACGTACTTGTCCAGTCTCCTATTGACGTACATGTATTTGTCCAGTCTCTTACTGACGTATTTGTCCAGTCTACTATTGACGTGTTTGTGCAGTCTCTTATTGACGTGTTTGTCCAGTCTCTTATTGACGTATTTGTCCAGTCTCTTATTGACGTATTTGTCCAGTC